TGTGGATTGATGTGTGGAGACAATGGTCTGCTACACCGATGGATGGTCGCATTCAGCTGCCCCTCTCCAGCGCGACCATTATGAGTCTCCCAGTGTGGCTTACAACATTCGAGCGGTCCATGTCGAATGGGAAATGTGCTGCCAGCATCGTCAACTCGCCCACCACTCGTCGATGATGTAGCCGTGGTGCATCCAACCAGCTACGCTGTCTAGTTGACATCGTCGCTATGCATGGTCGATGGCCGACTCGTGCAGAGTTCATGGCGATTAGGTCTGATCGAAACCCAGCTGCCCAAGTGGACATTGGTCTGGATGGAACCATGCAATGGGCGACTGTGTACCGATCCGGGATGCTTTACAACCACCTCACCTGTGTCCATGCCAACGTCCTGGGGCTCAACCAGCCGTCCCCCCCAGCCCCCCCACGGCTCGACACCCATTCTATGGCCTGGCTAAGGATGCCCCCGTACCATTTGAGTCCTGGCCAAGACGAATGGTTCTGGCTCTGGCCCACCATGCCCCCATCCATGAGGGACACCACCCCATGTCCAGCACGGCCCGTGTGACTACTGCGGCTATCCACAGGTATTTCAAGCGTGTCAGGCGGACATGTCGGATTCCTCCCCCGGTGCTGGGTGATGTGTGGCTACGCCTACTGTTCCGCATGCTCCCTGTGAACTGCCGTTTTGCCCACCTCCAACTCGAGCGTCCCGACGCTATCTGCTGCGCCTACGGCTGTGGTGCAGTGGAAACCCAATACCATGCATTCCACGCATGTCCCCACATCCACCCTGTATGGTCGTTTCACCGGGACGCCTGGCGACGCTATGGGGTATCATTTGCATGGTCGACTATCTCCGACCTGGACCTGTTCACGGTCAATGCAAGTGGTGACCGTCACAAAGATGCTCTCCAGACCCTGTGGATCCTCCTCACGGCATCCACCCTGCACCTCATATGGACCGAGCACAACAAGGTCCACCAAGGTCTGCCCTCTGCTGCCTGGAACGAGCTGTCGTTCCTTGGCTGGACGATGTCCGTCCGCCGATGGCTGCGCCTCCAAGACCCCGACTGTCCACTGCGCTCCTCCGTCCTGCATGTCCTTCACACCCTGCGTGCTCCTACCAACTACCGGCCATTGTGGACCAAGTACCCGTACTCCCTCCACCTTGCGCCGACCTCCGCGGCCAACCAGCGTGCCTAGCGTTACCGACGCGATGGTGCCAAGTCCTGCGTCAAGTCCAACACCTCAGCCTGCCTCAAGACAGCATGGTGCCCATCACCTTCAAGATGGTTGTTCCAAGAACGTTCTGCGGCCCATTACCCTCCCGTCCCTCTCATCGAAACTTCTGGCTCTCTCACCCACCCACGGTATTTATTGGTACCCCCACCTATTTATTGAAAACCTCTCAAAACCAGTGCCACCCTACGCACATGCTTTTGCATAGGCATTAGGAATTGGATGAGCCCATTGGGCAATATTAGTATTGGGATAAAACCTAATATAGTCCTATTTGACACTGAGCTAATCCCCTATAGTTCCTTGTAAGCGTTGCACACAACACTACCTTACCGAGTTTAACTTTAGCATCTACTAGTACAAGCAAACACGGCTGTTAATGCTTTCACCACCGCCATCGCTTTCACGGCCAACCTGGCTATGGAGGCACTCTCACCACCTACCACTGGGACCCATGAGATGGTTTCCTATGACATGGAGGTAGAAATACTCGATTTGCCCTGTCCGGTAAGGACCAATTCTTGCGCTGGCCGATATTCGTGCGCGCGACGACAGTGTAGTCACAGGAGCCGTCGTCGTAGCAGGCGAATTGGTGGAGGTGCTTGGTGCATCTGTGGTAGTCGCAAACAGCAGTCGAGGTAGCAGGCGTACTGGTCGTGGTACCGGGAGCCACCGTGGTGCTGCTGGGAGCTGTTGTGGTGGTGATGGAGGCAGCCGTAGAAGTAGTAGGAGCATGCTAATACCCACGATTTTGGCTCACCTACGCTAATTCTCGCCACCTACAACCATCATCCGAGGACGTCGTCAGTACTATTGACAGCCACCGCCCTGCGCAAACTCCGGTCATGCTACCTGCACCCCCTGTCCGGTAGACCCTAGCTCGCATGTACGCAGTCAGCCCTGCGTGCAACCTCGCCCCCAAAGTTCTGCAGCGTCGGCTACATCGATCAACACGCTAACACCAACTGATCTATAAGCCGCTGCTTCACGCATGCTGAAAGATCTAAGGTATATCGTGCTAAGGATGTGGCTGAACTCGTCTGAGCCTTGCAACGCTCCAACACCCTTCAACCGATCACCTGTGAGATGTATGATGGTAACGAGTTGACTGTGTCGCCCTTCGACCTGGATCTTGTGTTGGCGCTAACTGAGGTGATTGTTGCCGCATCCGTTACCCCTACTATAGCATCCGATGTGGCCATCATTGAAGTCATCCCAACCCACCACAGACTGCATTCTCTCAAGGTCCCGACAATTCTGAATGTTCTCATGACGCCCCGCATGGGCGAGGAGCTGTGGCGCATCAAGGAAACGATGTTTACTGGTGACGAGGACATGCATCGGGCCATGGTCCACCTCGCCGACATTCATACCAGTGGAAACATTGATGTTACCTGCATTGGCCTCACACGTTGGTACCAGAACTAGGGCCGTGTTGTCGTCGACAATGACCAAAACAACGAGTCTGTCACCCATTTTGACACTTCCACCGCGACCCAGGGGTCAGCCTCTAGTACTACAGTGCTCCCGGCCAACTTCCACGATCCAACCCCCACCATTTCCATGACAACCTGAAATCTGAATGCTCTAAACGTCAACGGCCATCTCGTAGCTCGGCGTCTCAACTTTCCTGGGTCCAAACATGTACTAGAATATTTACTGTTAGTGTAACGGTCAAGGGCTTGCACTGAAATTGTGCTAGGAAGAATTGTGTGGGTTCAAACCTCACCTTCGATTACCTTTTTTCACACAGAAATAGCCCACCGGATACGATTACTATGCGGATAAATGGTGGTAATATTTGAAATTTTGAACCGCCATCGAAACGACGTTCAAGCATGAGCGATGTGCAGCAGCAAGAGTCCCCGGAGGACAGCGGGGGGTCTATGCACATGTTGCAGGCGCGACGGTAAGTGGTCCAAGCCATCACGATCTGGCATACCTAATGCATTGGAAGCAGATACGCGAAAAAAGCGAAGCAAAAGACTGGATATGATCTCTTCATGTTGGAAATGAAGGATGTTTTCCAAGGTACAGTGTACAGTGTACCTCGGATGGCATACCAACTAGTTCATGCATGTTAATATACTTCGTAGCTCTCAAGCAAACTGAACCCGATGCCAGCTTCGTAAAGCAAAAGTGGAAAGGAGCTCCCAGCAAGTGAAAAACACCGTTGCTGAAATGGCCGCGTGAGCTCTATTCCGGCCTCTTCCAGCCTGTCAAAATGGTAGGATGGCCGACGAAGGTGACTGGTTTTCGCCTATTGAGTGCGAAGGATGTTCTTCTTGTCACCAAAGCCATCAGCGACGGAAGTTTGAAATTCCTTTCTCAAATTTCCACCAACGTCGAGTAGTCGATAGCTAATTCATTTATGGGTATGAATTTTTCGCACGTGGTTTTTCGGTGTATCGCGCGTGGTGCCATTGAAAGGGCACTTTCACGTGGTATGTTTCTGTTTGAGGCATTCACGCGTGGCATATTGTCGTCGTATTAAATTACAAAAAACACCGCGAAATTTAATAGTATTCCAAATTCGATTTACGTTTCGAAACATGGTGTTCGCACCAAACACACTCAGCTGCTACTTCGAAGTAGTTGGCATCAAGCTCATCGCACGCATCTCTACTCGACACCAATCATATCAGCTCCGGTACTTCTACATTCACAACATCATCGTTTCGTTTCACCATTGATCACTGCTCATTGTATGCATCAACGTCCCCTTCCGCTTCAACGAATCCTACAACCAGTCGTCTGCCTACAGTTCAAGCACGTCGGGTCACTCGAGTTCCCTTGTCCACAACCAGCCCAGCATCCTTCGACACGCACATCGCATTATCAGCCCACGTATGTATATCCCTTTGTAGCATTAGCCGATGACGTGCGTATGTTCAGTCGAAACTACGACATATCCCTATGAATGGTTATCTCGTCGTATTTAATGTAGCGGTTGATGTCCAACATGCTACGTCGAGGGTCCGTTTGCTTTGTTGCGGTGGAACTGTAGTGATGAGGTTGAATGTACTCAATTCGATTATCCTGTACTCATTTCGTTGTTATTTGTTGTTTCTGCACACAAGGGTGGACTGTTGACGACAAGATATATTGAAAAAACCCGCGCATGATTAATTATGTTGACTGTGAATACTTCAAACATACAACTACTACGTACGCGCTCGCTTTCTATTACGCTTTCTACCTTTACAAACAACAATGCGACGGACTGCGCGAACAAAATCAACGCTGGGGAGTTCTCCGACCCCGATCGTTCCTTCAGCATCTGTCAACTCGGAAACGGAGCCAACGCACGTCAATACCCATACATGGGCAGTGTGGCCTGATACGGTTGTGACTAGAAACATGCCGTTGCCTTCCGCGAGGACGATACGGTACAGATCCAACTTCGGATCGCCACTTTGATTGGTAAGCAACTCAGACGCAAACGTCTTCAAACAAATCCGGAGCCCCCTCGCGAACAGAAACTGGACAAAGGCACGTAACTTGGATGGGGGAATGCCATGGGACAGTGGGATGGAGTTGGTTGTCATAAATAACACCAAATCGGCTGCAGTGGCGCGTAAATGCAGGCCCAACTTGTCGCTGATAATTTTGAACGCTTGAAAAAGGCAGGTTTTTGTTGGATTTTCACCAAATTCCAAAAAACGAGCGTCGCGTACTCGGTATTCGGAGTACGTTAAGTTGCCAGGATGTTGTCGCCAACGCGTGTACACACCCAACGCTTCGGGACAATGTTTCATAAAGCGGCTTATCACCCATGATCGCGTGTACCCCAATAGATGAGGTCGGGCCCAGTGAACGAGATACTGGTGCCATGTTTTTCCCATTCTCTCCACAGTGCGTTCGTCCGCAATGAAGTCCACTTCACCAGCATGCATCGGGATAGGGTGACGACACCAAGAGGCGGTCGGTTATCTTCAGCCCAGGCCATAGGATTTGGACACGATCGCACACGCGGTCAAAGATGGCTGATGGTTCATCCGAAGGCATTTTCGCTCAGTAACTCACATCAACGGGTACATGAATTTATATATAGGTTTGTCTATAAATACTTTTAAGTACTATGCAGTAGGACATAGGTGCTCTAGGATATGAAAAGGAAAATAGCTCACGTGGTAGGGCTCCCGCTTGGTAACCGAGTGGTACAGGGTTCGATCCCCGGTGTTGATGTACAATATGCCAGATAGTCAGAGTGCGCTGGACACTAAGTACGTTCGCCGGAAGTCGTCTCCGGATAACCTGGATGTCACAATTAGTAATACTAGCTTTTGTATGGTCAAGCAATTTTTGCTTCAGTAATTGTAATGTATGATGTAATGAACCGTCGATAGTCGTTCCATGATATCAACTTAAAGGTAGCGTAATGGTCCTTTGAGCGAAAGGTCGTGCGTTCATTACCGGGGGTTACAACAATCCTTATTTTCAACGTCGTCTTGCTATTGCTCGAATTATCGTCGAAGGCATGTTGATTCATTCTCACACTTGCTGCTGACACGTAAAACGAAGCCACAGGAATGGAGAGCAGCAGCGACATACCAGAGCTGGATCAAAGCCACATTGGCATCGACGATGCATACGACGAAGCTTTGACTGGCCATGCCCGAATCGATACCGAGCTGCAGTGGTCCTTAATGGGTGAATATGAGAGTTTTTGTGCAGCGAAGGCGGGAATGGAGTCATCCAGTACAAATCGCTACATGCATTTGCGCAACTACAAGTGCTCCGACACGAAGCGCTCCTACGTATACGCGTGCTCTAGTCATACTGGATGTACGCACAAGATGCGTAACGTCGTCCTCACGTTTGTATCACGTCTTGAGAGATCCAACGCTGCACACAGCGAGGACACGGCCGTTACTCGTTCACGTGGAGTTCATCCCTCCTTGCGCGCTGAGATCGATTCGCATCTAAAAGGTGGTTTTACCCCCATTGAAGTTGGAGGTAGTATGGTGTATTAAGGTTTTTAAAGTACTTACGACGTACAGGTGCACCTGAGAACCATTTACCAACATGACGCTGCTGTGCTCCTACGAATACTGTTGGACTCGACGGGCTTGAGCAACGCCAATATGCTGGGATCGTGTTCACGTCACGCCAGAACATGTGGAACGTAGCAATAGCTTTGAAACATCAAAAAGAAGGGGTAGCGCTTGCAACCGACGGGACATACAAGCTTCACTTCGGTCCGTACATAACACGATTCCTACTTAAAGGATAGATGTAATAATTACTAGGGGGATGGACGCTCATTGACATAGGCGTTGTGTACACAAGATTATACAACAACAAGTGTGGTAGCTCTTTCATGCCATGGTCGTACCTGTTTGTGCGCTCAGAATGCGAGGAAGCCTATTCGCAGCTATTGCGAGTATCCGCTCAAGCGTTTGACACGTTCTTCGACTACCAGCTCGACGTTGCGACGTGCTCAATTGATCACACCCAGTACATCCAAACCGCTCTCAAGAAGCAGTGGCCGCAAGTCCATGTTGTGTCATGCGCCATCCACATGCTGCGAAACGTTCACAAGTACAAGTCCTTGCTTCGGACCATGGACAACTACAAGGTCATTTGCACTCAAATCCACCTCATGCGATCTGCACGGACGTGGATGCAATTTCATGCTATTGCAAGTGTCGTCCTCATGGACTGGGAAACATCGCTCGCGGAGGAGGAATTTGCACAGTGGTTCCAAGAAACCTATTTGCTGCCCCCCTGGGACGTTTGGTTCTTCGTTGCGTCGCTCACTCCTGGAATTCCTGCACATCAACAGCACATTGAGAGCCATCATAAGCGTATCAAACAGGTAACACATAATTGGACCTACGCTTATAACTGCGTGTGAAGGTTTGCGCCCTGAGATACGAGCAACAACGAGTGTTGTACTGGAGCACACCATTCCCCGAATTGTTGTTGCTGACGCTATACAGCCCGATCATACACCAGCCACGTGGATCGATGCACCAATCTCGGGTGAAGTGTTGGCCAAGGCTCTAGTTTTACTCAAGCCAAGAAATCACAGACTCATCGAAGAGCAATCATGCATTTGCTTCAACTCGTCCTCGCACTTTGGAATTTCCATTACATTGTCCAGGATGAAGAAGTACCATACATTGTTACGAATAATCATAGAACTGTTACAATAGCACCTGAAATGTGTAGATATCTGGACTCCCTCAATGGCGAAGGCACAGTTGACCTATTGGCAGAAAAAATCAAGGACGCTTTCCTCAGCTTACACATTGTTCATGTCGACGACGACATTGAAATTAGGGAAAACGTGTCAAGTCTCGAGCCCTTTACATTCAACGAGGTTTAATTTATTCCTAGAATTAAATTAAGTAACTAAAAATCACGATTTTT